TGAATGCTCACAGCATCATTCATAAAAGCCAAAAGGTGGAAACAACCCAAATATATATCAACTTATAAATGGATAAATAAAGTGTGGTATGGTGTATCAACAAAATGGGATATTATAGGACAATTAAAATAGATGGTGTACTGCTGCTATATGCTACAACATGAATGAATTTTGAAAATATTAAGGTAACTGAAAGAAGGAGACATAAAAAGCTATATACTGTATGATTCCTGTTGTATGGATTGTCCAGAATAGACAAATCCAAAGAAATAGAAAATTAATTAGTGACTGTCAGGTGCTGGGGGGAACTGGAGAGAAACAGGAACTGATTGCTAATGGATACAAGATTTCTTTTTGGGATTATAAAAATGTTTTGGAACTAGACAGTGATGATGACTACATAACTCTATAAATACATAAAAACCCCTGGACTACATATACTTTAAAAGAGTGAATTTTATGGTATGTGATTATATTTCAATTAAAAAAAAAGAGCCTTGAATATCTTGCATGCTGGAAAGCAAACATTTACTCCAAGAATAATGGAGACATGTCAAAAGGACACAGAAACCAGCCTGAAGGAGTTCCCACAGGCTAAATCAGAGAATCAAAATAAATAATGATAGCAATGGATTACAACCCACTGAATAAAAAAGAGAACCATGAATCCTTGCAATATGAATAAATGAATCCCAAGTGTGATGAGGAAGGGGATATTTACATTGCTTCAAAGTTCCTCTCTACAAAAATATTTACTAATTACCAAAGAAAAAAAGAGTAACTTCAGAGGCAAAGCCTGACAGACATCACCTTACACAACTATCAAAGTAAGCATCATCAGTAATGGGACAAATGGAAATCTGTGCTCTCTGATAGGCTGCAGTGGAAAAGGACACAGCAATGTCAATACTGGGGGAGGCTAGATAGGGGTGGGGACTCCCTTTAATTTCTGCTCAACTTTGCTATGAAACTAAAATTGCTACATTTTTTTGAGGGGGGGTGCAAGTGAGAAGAGGGCAGAGAGAGAGAGAGAGAGAGAGAGAGAGAGAGAGAGAGAGAGAATTCCCCAGGGGTAGAGAGAAACAGAGAGAAGCGGGACTCACTCGAAAACTCGAGCTCATCTGATGTGGGAGGACTTGAACTCACGAACCGTGAGATCATGACCTGAGCTGAAGTCAGATGCTTAACAACTGAGCCACTCAGGCACCAGAACCTAAAACTGCTCTTAAAAAAATAAAATGCGTTAATTAAAAAACAAAAACAGCACCACTCTGTGATATTCCCACAAAACTGCATAACCTGAATTTAGTCATAAAGAAACATCAGACAAACCAAAACTGAAGAACATCCTACAAAATAACTGGTTTGCAATCTTCAAAAGTGTCAAGGTCAAAAAAGTCAAAGACTGCAGAAATGTTCCAAACAGAAGGAGACTACAGAGACATGACTGCAACACATTACTCTAAACTAGATCCTTTTGATACAGAGGACATTATTTGTACATCTGGCAATACCTGAATAAGATCTAAGAATTAGTTGGTGGTAATGGATCAATGTTAATTTGCTGATTTTGATTAATATATTGTGGTTATGTAGGAGAATGTCCTTCTTTGCTAGAAACACAATTTCAAAGATCATGCGCTAGCAACTTATTCTCAAATGGTTCAGAGAAAAAAAAAAGTTCTTTGTACGTGACTTTCCTATAAGCTTAAGATAGTTTATAAAATTTTTTAAATACACCAGAAGTGTCTATCATATTTTTAATTTCCAGAGCACTTTCTTTTTCTAATGATTTTTACGTCATCTTATTTCATTCATATAACTTCTTTTCTTATCTCTTCTCTTAATTTCTCTGATGCAATTACTAATTACCTACGGTTTGTTGGGCTTTTTTCCTCAAACTTTCTTCTATTTCCTGTATTATTTTCCTCCAAGTTCCTCTTTTGTACTTTTGTGTTTTGTTCTCTTTCCCCTTGGAGGCTCTCCCCAAATGCCTATTTATTGAATAAATGAAGTACTAAAGCCAACTGGAAGCTCTGCATGTCTGGCTTCTCAACCAGGAGGCTTCCACTGCATGGTGATCAGGTGGGAACATAGTTACTTCACTGGGAGACCTCTAAATGTCAGTATAGAGGGGTCTTTTCTTTAGACTTTAGAGAAGGCTCATATACTTTCCTACAAGGGGGTACAGAGAGATATAATACTAGGCAATTACCTTATGAAAGAAAAGTAAAGGAAGGAGTGAGGGGGAAGGGTCTCACTTTTCAGTGTAAAGGATTTCTCTTAATCCTCCTGCTTTCACTATGCATGGTTCCTGATCCCTCGTCAGTTATGTTTAATGTCCTCAAGTCTTGAGCATCTTTAGTTTCATCTTCCAAAGAAAACCCTGTGGTCTCCTGAGGGCTTGGGAGAGGGGCAGTCTCCTCACTGCATAAGCTGGGTATCCCAGAGGATTTAAACCCTGGAGCACCTGGGTGGCTCAGTCAGTTAAGCGTCCAATTTGGCTCAGGTCACGATGTCGCGGTTTGTGAGTTCGAGCCCCGCAATGGGCTCTGTGCTGACAGCTCAGAGCCTGGAGCCTGCTTCAGTTTCTGTGTCTCCCTCTCTCTCTCTCCGCCCCTCCCCCACTTGTATTCTGTCTCTCATTCTTAAAAATAAATATTTAAAAAAAGAAATAACAAATCTGAAGTCAGGATTCTTTTTTTATTTTTTTAAGGAGGCTCCACTCCCAATGTGGGGCTTGAACTCACAACCCTGAGATCAAGAGTCCCATGCTCCACCAACTGAGCCAGCCAGGCACCCCTACGTCAGGATTCTTTACCTGCCTTCTTATAAAAGCATCCATGTCTTATTCAAAATAGAAGTCACTAAATATTATACATGTATATCTCAAGAAAGAAATAGGGGCACATGACTGGCTCAGTCAGTTAAGCATCTGACTTCGGCTCAGGTCGTGATCTCATGGTTCATGAGGTCGAGCCCCACGTCGGGCTCTGTGCTGACAGCTCGGAGCCTGGAGCCTGCCTTGGAGTCTGTGTTTCCCTCTCTCTCGGCCCCTCCCCCTGCCCATGCTCTGTCTCTCTCATAAATAAATAAACATCAAGAAACCTTTTTTTAAAATTTTTTTTTCAACTTTTATTTATTTTTGGGACAGAGAGAGACATAGCATGAACGGGGGAGGGGCAGAGAGAGAGGGAGACACAGAATCGGAAACAGGCTCCAGGCTCCGAGCCATCAGCCCAGAGCCCGACGCGGGGCTCGAACTCACGGACCGCGAGATCGTGACCTGGCTGAAGTCGGACGCTTAACCGACTGCGCCACCCAGGCGCCCCAAGAAACCTTTTTTTAAAAAAAGAAAAGAAAAGAAATAGAACTACTTAATTTTGTACATTTTCTTCCTGAGGACCTCTTCGTTTGGCATTGCACTTCTGGACCTCTTCTTTTTTATTCTATTGACCATAGTCCTTTTGGACATTCCCTTGAATCAACCTTAGGGGGTTCCACTTTTATAGCACTAATCTGATTGCTCCTTTTGTTTCCTTCACTGGTACTTCCTCTTTATGCCATATACTAATTAAAATGAACATGCATACATCTGTGCACCAAACATCATGGAGTATCAGGCACTGTCCTTGTCATTAGATTATAATGACAAATAAGACAATGTCCTTAGGGCACGTGGCTGGCTCAGTTGGAGGAACATATGAGTCTTGACCTTGGAGTCATGAGTTTGAAACCCACGTTGGATGTGCAGATTACCTAAATAAATAAAACTTAAAAAAAAAAAAAAATAAGACAATGTCCTTGACCTAAAGGTGCCTAATGTTTCATAGAGGAGATGGATGAATAAACTTAAAATATAAAACATCGTACTAATTGATATATGCCCTGAGGGCTATGGAGCCAAAGAAGAAGTGAAGCTAAATCAGACTGAGGCAGGGATGTATTTGGGAGGTAGGGTAGGCTACTGTGACAAATATTCTAATAATTGATTACCACTGATTATTTTTTATTATTGTTGATAATTTTTTCAGTAGGTTGAAAACTTCCTAAAGAGGTAATACCTGAAGAATAAGATCTTGCCCAGTAAAAGCAAAAACCAGCACCCCCTTCTTATGCCTCTACATGAGGTGGCTAGGGTATAAGAAATACCCTTCCAACTGTAGGCCCAGAAGTTTTGATGAGGAAGGCACTAACTACTAAGGGCCTCTCTACTCCACTCTCAACTGAAAAGGAGCTCACTCTGCTATCACACACTGTCAGACTCATGCCTCTATTCTTAAAGCTTACATGGAAAATTAAACTCAGCCAGAGTAAGCAACATGCCATTAGTGAATGGTATAATCAGTTTCTGAAATTCATCTTACCCACACATCCTCAACCCTCCCTACCATTTCCAGCCCCTTAAGTAATTGTATGACCTAAAAGAAATCAAACATGATTCCTAGTCAGGAAAAAAAAAATCAATGATTCCTGCTCTACAAGAATTAGTAAAATACTTCCAATTTTCTGCTGGAAATTATTGCTCTTCACAATTAGTCTAAAAATACAAAATAAAATAATGTAATTAAATCTATATTTGCTTCCCTGCCCCAAAATTAGCTTTAATTGCTTTGCTCTTACATGATGACTAAGAAATAGAAATAAGATTAATTGGATAGATATATCACTATTTTTTTTTCTACCAACATTATTGCTCAAATCCGTGTTCTTTTTCATGCTGAAATTACCTTTTTATGCTCAAAGTAGAAGCTGACTCTAAAAGGAAAAAGCCAAGCACTGGCAGAAAAATTAGAATTTTGACATAACTCAACAGTAATTTTAAAATACCCTTCCTCTGGATTTAAGTCAAATCTTTTTTTAAAACTATACTCCTGATTTAACAAGAGGCAATGTTATAAACGAAGCAAGCAGCATATATACATGAGCATTATTTTCTGTAGATTTAGCTGTTTTCTTAAGTTCAATCTCTAACAGAAATAGAACATTGGTTTTCTTACCTTTTTCCCCTTACACACGTGATAAGGGACAGACTTCCCTGTGCTTACTCATGATGCTTGCTGCACCACCAGCCAGTCCTGCTGATTCAGTATGCCCTATTTGATCCTAAAGAAAAAAAAAACACATTGCTCATTATATTTGCTAAAGCAATAAGCCCTAATTTTCTTCATATAAACCTATCACAGCCAGACAAATGACAGCTATGGGGCTTAAATAAATTACATCTTCAGATTCAAAGACCTGGCTACTATGAAATGCAGCAGACACATTTTACTGTCTAAGAAGGCCAAAGGTTAAACGTTGCATAAACAGTTAAGAATTTTTGAATATTTTTTATTTTCAGTGGATAATACAAAATAAAACCTCAGAGGCAGGCACTTTCTACCCAATGGTTTTAACTCTGTTAATTCATAAAAATACCAATTATTTTGTATTACAATAAGCCCTCCAAGAATCCAAAGCTAGCAAAACTGCTGCTTCACTAGAATGTCTTTTTTTTTTTCCTGTACATACAGATTTCTTAAATTGAGATTCAGAGGCTTCCTGTTGAGATTTTTATTGCAAAACAACTGTTTTCCTCCAAACGGAGTCTCTTAGGATTCTAGTCCTCCTCCATTGTTTAGAAGCAATGGATCTATTAGCCCAACATTATCCTTACTACTAGCGATATGCAAAAGACAAAGCTTTCAAAGCTTCCTCAAATGTTATTTCCTTCTTCTGAATATATGACAATATCCATGAAGTTACAGTAGTCCAATTTAAATACTTCTGTAGCTGTTTAGAGAAGATTTGAAATTCTTTAGGAGCCTAATTTAGTCTTGAACAAGATTGGTAATTGTAATCCGAATAAAATTAAGAATCTCATATTACCCATATAAAGTATCAAACATATAATCATAACATTTCAGAACAGGAAAGTATCTTAGAGATGATCTAATGAACATCGCTTAATTTTAAAGACAATATGCACTAAAAGAAATTTTTCTGGCATTATTGTAAATGCAATTCCATTAACTGATGGAAAAATAATGTACTTATTAAAAAATAAGAGAGTTTTTAAAAAGCCAAAAATTCAAGTTTCCAGAAACCAATAAAAAATATAGAATGGGGCGCCTGGGTGGCTCAGTTGGTTGAGTGTCCAACTTCAGCTCAGGTCATGATCTCGCGGTCTGTGAGCTAGAGCCCTGCGTCCGGCTTCGTGCTGACAGCTCAGAGCCTGGAGGCTGCTTCGGATTCTGTGTCTCCCTCTCTCTCTGCCCCTCCCCTGCTCATGCTCTGTCTCTCTCTCTCTCTCTCTCCCTGTCAAAAATAAAAATAAACATTAAAAAATATATATATATAGAGAGAGAGAGAATGAAAATCTCTGGTGAGGGGCACCTGGGTGGCTCAGTTGATTAAGCATCTAACTCTTGATTTCGGCTCAGGTCAGAATCTCACAGTTTGTGAGTTCAAGCTCCATGTCAGGCTCTGCACTGGCAATGGGGAGCATGCTTTGGATTCTCTCTCTCCCTCTCTCTCTCTGCCCCCCCCCACTCTCTCTCTAAATAAATAAACTTGGGAAGGAAGGAAGGAACAAAGGAAGGAAGGAAGGAAGGAAGGAAGGAAGGAAGGAAGGAAGGAAGGAAG